CTATGTAAAACTAAATAATATATTGCTTATTGATATATCTGCTTGTAATAAAACTAATATTTAGAAAGTAAGAGAATGGTAAATTAAAAATCCAAGACAATAGAAGGAACACTCAGTGGCCTTCACAGATAATGGTAATTTTCTTCTTACGTTCACTTCATAATTTACATATTTGTCACTTATTTAATATGTATCAAATATTACATACATTGTGAATATGATGTAATAGAGTATTTGAATATTCTAATAGAAATTGCTACATAGGAATTTCTGCCAGAAAGTACAATGGTGACTGAAGGTGGAGACTCTAGCAACAGACCTGGTGGCTTCTAATCTAACTTTCCCACTGACTAGCTCCATTACCTTGGGAAAGTTACTCATGTGCCTGTACCTCGGTTTTCACATCTGTAGAAGGGGAATGCTAAATTAACCCATTTATTAGGGTTATTGTGAGAATTAATTGCAGTTATACATGTAAGCATTTTAGAGGTTGCCCGGGACATGGCAAGCCATGTGTCAACTCTCATCTTCATCGCCCTGGGGGCCAGATGCACTTCTCTTGCTCTGTTTACTTTTCTGTACAACGGATAATAAGATTATTGTGAAATAATATATAGAGAGCTCATGACATTGTGCAGATCACCCAGTAGATCTTTAGTGATAAAATATGATTTTAAAGATTTTGATTCACTCTCATGGAAAACAAAACCTACATTTGGTTTTAAAATTAAAGAACCATGGGGCGCCTGGGTGGCTCAGTGGGTTAAAGCCTCTGCCTTCGGCTCAAGTCATGATCCCCGGGTCCTGGGATCGAGCCCCGCATCGGGCTCTCTGCTCAGCAGGGAGCCTGCTTCCTCCTCTCTCTCTGCCTGCCTCTCTGCCTACTTGTGATCTCTGTCTGTCAGATAAATAAATAAAATATTTAAAAAAAATTAAATTAAATTAAATTAAAGAACCAGTCTCATGGTAAAGAGGTTAAGATGCTAACACTTGAAATGATTGATGTACATAGCTGGAAATGTCGTTTCTTTTAAGTGTGGTTAGATGTGGCATTTACCAGATTCCTCCCAACATCCCAGTTGGGATCCTGTTTGAAATCTTACTATAAACTCTTTCCTAATATTTTACGAAATAACATTTTGTGATTACAATAAAAATTTTGAAAATGTGGGAAGATCTATAATCCTGTCCTTTCAGAAGGAAGCATTCTCTCAGTTTCGTGTAGTGTCCTAAGCCCTTTTTTTCATGATTTTCAAAATGAAACTGAGATCCTACAAATGGATATGTGGAAGAACAGGCACTGAAAGAAAAGGGCTCCAGAGTGCCCACACGTTCAAGAAGATAGTGATTATGGTTCCTTGTGGAGGCTCCCACCAGCTGCTGACTCACCTTTACTGACTTGATTCCATCTTGTCCTCTCTTGTTACCAGGAGGTAATCGGACCCAGATGCGGGCCAAGTGGGGACCCTAGATGGTGACTGGAAGGCTACACCTGAGGGCAACCTCTCCCAAGAGTTCTCCTTTCCCCTCACGTTCTGGTAGGGATAAAAGCACTGGGGATCTGCTTCATGGAAACAAAAGGGGGTGGATTTTTTTTGTTTGTTTCATTTTGATTTTAAGATAAATGTATACTTCATTGTTATAGACCCTCAGAAATCACCAGTTGGAATTTGCAGCAGATTTGGGAAGCTGTCAAGTATAAGGCAGGCTAGAACTCATCTCATTTTAGCCTCCCTTTTGTAATTGAATCAGAGAAGTCAGAGCCCGGCCTGCTTCTACATATGCTATAGCATTTGTCAATATTAAATTTAATTTGTGCTAAGAGCAGCTTGCTAACAGCGAGAACACAAAGCTTGCCGAACTTCACTTTGTGTGTTCAGTACAGCCAACATTAACACACCTAATGAATTCAGCTACATTATCCTATCCAAATCTAGGTCAGTTCTGTTGATTAAAAATGTTCTAGGTTTGAGGACTGACCCTGTAAAAACCCACTTAAAATTTAACTACTTCATCACCTTTTCTGTCTCCCGCACTTCTCAAATGGAAGAATATATACCGGTTACCAATCCAATGGGCCACCATTAAGAGGTCATCATCAACAACAGACATTTATTGAGCGCCTATTGTGTGCAAGGCACTGTACTAGGCATGGGGCTACAAAGACAAAGGAGAAACAGTCCCTGCTCTCAAAGAGCTTACAATCTGATTAGACTAATAGGACACACACATAAAGAGACAGGAACAAAAATACAAGGTAGCATAGAATATTAGGGCACTGAGTAAAAACAAACAGGATCACAGACTTTTTTTGCTTTTCTATGGCGGCTCAATACCCTGAGTAGGTGGGGATGTGTGAGCTGGAGTAGGGGGCTTGCTCATATTCATTTTCAAACCTATAGACACTCTCTCACCTCTCTCCACTCTGAAGCATCTTCTGGCATGTGCTAGAACCTAGGCAGTGGATTCACATCCCCTGCCCAATGCCTTAGTATTATAGTTCTCTCTGAGGTGGCCTTTCGATAGGGTGACCCACTGTCCCAGTTTGCCCGGGGCTTGTCCTCTGTTTTAGCACTGAAGATCTGTCCTGAAGCTCCTCCCCACCCCTACCAGCCCGAGGGGAACCAGGATGGCGCTTCTGAATGACCTAGTCCTAGAGCCAGATGTCTTCCTCCCACCTACTGTGCTCATTGCCTGGCAGAGCCCACCCCAAACCTGTTCCCCAGGTATGTCTCTAGTTGAAAAACCTACAAGGAAGACCTTAACAACCTCCAAAGACCGCTGGTTGAAGAGCCCAGTGTAGACAAACGACAATCAGGAGAGAATGATGGTGGAAGGATGGGACTGAGGTTCCAGAGAGAAGCAGGGAGGATGGAAGGAAGGATTGGCTCAGGGACGAAATATGTAGGAGTGTTACCCTCACCTCCTAACACTACAGAGAGAAGAGGAATCTCAGAGTAAGTCTGAACTAATAGTCTGAGTCATCACCCCAGTGGAAATCAGGATGTATTTCCGAAATGCAGTCACCCCTACATAAGGACAACTATTTGGGTGGGTGTTAAACAGGTACAGATATGTTCACATAAGACTGCATGAATCCTGACAAAATTCTAGTTTGTTCCGTCCACTTTTACTTAACATTCATTCAGCCTCCCAATCAATAATTCTAACGTTTGAGGTGAGTTTTTACTTCAAAATGAGATGATATCCCTCAATTTTAACGTGATTAAAATAGATCAGTAATGGAGAATACTTCAGGACACAAAGGGAGTCTGTCCAGAGAGGTGTTGTTTGGCCTCTGAGGCACATACTAGCAATGGTGTCAGGATTCCGAGAGAACACCCACAAATTTCTCTTTCAGGTACAGTATTTTGTGTTTTGCTTTCCTTTATTTTTTTTCAAGACGAGCTCTCGCTCTGAAATCTTAGGACCTTGGAAGTTCCTGAATCACTCTGGTTTTATGTCTAGCCCTTAGGAGCACATCCCAGGGTTAGTGAAGCACAGGGACTTAGTTACCAAACACCCATTAACCATAATGGAAATCACGCAGCAAAGTCCCCATGCAGCACACTGAATATTTACCTCCTAATGTTCCTTTAATGTATGCTTTCTTGGGTGAATATTTACTGTAGAATATTAAATGTAAGATTCCTCTTTTTATGGGCCATTTGAAGTGATTGATTTTGTTTGTGAATTCCTGTATCTTTGCCCATAATGGCTATCTATTGTAATGGCCTCTGCCAAATGTTCTTGCATTGAAATAACAGACGCCATGCATCGGCCAGCTGTGGCTTTGTATTACTGGGGTCTTAAAAGCAAGGAGGTAGCTGATGACACAGCTGGGAAAGAAGACAAAGGTGTATAACATAACGAGTATGACTAAGGCTCCCAACACAATTGGATATTGAAATCACTGAGGTCTCTAAACATGGTTCTGCCATCATCTTTTATATCAGAGTTGATGTTTAGTGGTTTTGAATGGTGTTGAGACCGAGAGTCAGGAAATGATAGCAGCAAGATAAGAATTCAATTGCCCATAGCCAGCTCCGTCGGCACAATCTATCAGAATTCCAGGCATATTCTTGAAATGCTATAATAAAAACCACTGCCCAAGTGATCAGTCTTACACCTATTTATACCATATTTGAAAAAATATGAATTCCCATACTCTCGTATCTTAGCTACATTTAGATGTAAGCTATTTCCCATTGAAGCCAGGGATTTTCAGAATTTGGTTGCTTTACACTCTGCTGAGTATTTGGGAAGAAGGAAGAAGCTACAAAAAAGATGCAGTTATCATACGGTCTTAAAACAAAAACAAAAACAAACAAAAAAACAAACCAAATCCTAAAAACTAAAGATAACCCAGGCATTTGAGATATTACAGATTAGGTAATACAGCTATATTTTTGCGGGTCCCAAGTATGCCTTTCCGAATTTCCATAAAAATAAAACTTGTTAAAGGAGCTACTTACATCTGAACAACATAATGTCTTCAAGTGATGGTAAAGGTGGCCTATAAATCTATCACATGAAATTCATACTCTTTTTCTTACGTTCACAAATGATCGTGTGTCCGGAGTCCATACCGCAAAAGAGATCCGGCTGGAATGATATTCTACAGTCTCTTTAAAAACTATGAGAAAGTCTGAAGAACACATATGTTTCCATTGTACTGGCTTTTAGCAGCTCAAGCTATACCACAATAATCCCAACTTTGTTTTGTTTCTGTCCTATAAATATCCGGACTGTGTTTACACCCCAACCACAGGACCCCATATGATAAGTAGTACTAGTTAGTGCAAGGGAATGGAATCTTAGTACTAAGTAAGGAAAGTGAAAGGAAGTGGCAATGTGAAAAACCTTCTTTAGTCACAGGTCAGGTCAGGTTCTGTGAAACAATGTCGGTCTCCACACGTAATACTTGCTGGTGCCTTTGAATTTGGCATTGGAAAAGCACATGCCTTCTAAGTCATATGGAAAAAAAAAAACACTGGTGTATTTTTAAAAAGACTAATTTTGAGGAATAGCACTTGCTTAAATGAAGGTCCTTCATACTACTCTCTTGGCTCTGGATAAAATAAGTCCTTAATACTCCTCCAGACCGGGGAATGGCTGAGACTATCATGTGAGACTTGCAATGAGTGAATCTGAATAGTTTACAGGATAAATGAGTCGTCTGATAGGGAAGCTCCTTGTCTTCTCTTCTCACAGACTCAGAGAAGGACTGTTCCTTGCTCCTATAGCCAGGGAACACCACAGAGGTTCTCTCTCTCTTAGTTTTTTGCCCTCCCCCTTTTTGGGGTTCAAGAAACACCAGAAAAGCAGGGGGTAGACTGTAGCCGATGGGGACCAGTGAGAAAGTTGTGTTTTTAACCACAGAGGGAGATAAATAGTAATAGGGGGATAAAAGACCCCCTAAAGTCAGGCTTTTGCTACTAGAGAAACCCCATCAATCCAAGTATAAGGTCCTCAAGTGGGTCAAGGAGAGGCTTACAGAATTTTAGATTTGGGAGGAAACTTACACTGTCATCTGATACAGGGACATCATTCTCACACGAGGAAACTAGGGTTTATGCCAAGTAACCTACACCAACTATTACTAAAGACAGCTATCTTTAAGTTTCTTTTGTTAGTATCTTTTTGTTGTAATAACACAGTTTTTGGTTTTCAGTTTTGTCATTTGGAGCAATTCTTTACGTTAGAAAATGTCATAGCTCTTCTTGAAGCCCAAGGATTCAAAAAACACCAACGCGACATTTCCATGCCAATCAACTGCTAACGAGTGTCGTGAACCCAGTCACTCACCAGCCCCATTCTAGGTGTCTTCCAACCATCATTCAGGGTTAAAGAGTTAAGAAGGATAAATTACCACATAATCATAATCTATAAAAATACTGGCCTAGAGTACACTAAAAAACTTTTAATAAATAAATATTGGGCATTTGCTTTGTGAAAGTCAGTGGAGATGTGCTCTTCAGAAATCAGGTCTATACTTTCAGACTGCTTTTTACAAATCACACATACAGAGCCCAACAGATGACAAAGATTATAGATCAGGTTAGGATACAACTCGATAGAAAAAGGTCTTTTGATGTGGCATTTCTACAAAGGAACACAACTAACATCGTTGAGTTGCTCGTGCTTCGGTTTTGAAGGCGATACTTAAAGAGATCCAGAATGTTCTTTAGACCACGACAGCATCACTGACATGGGTGTTTAGCTCCTCAAGTAACCCCTTTTGCAAGGGATAATGCTCCTGCGGACATAGTAATTCTGGAATTTTCTCCTTACACACCAACCGCAGTGTTTGGCGGTCCTGCCTCCCAGCCATCTGTACGTGTTGGTCATGGAGGAGTTTCCTGCTCCCGATCCCGTCCCTCTCTTGTGTCTGCCGGCTCTGGAAGTTCAGCGCCCTGGCGTCTGATGCAGTAGGTACTTGAGGTTTTGTTCTGGCACCCTCACTGCTCAGAACACAGGTTTATTCTCCGGAGGCTTTAGAGCAAGTGATTCTGGTTTCCAGTCTGGCTGAAAAAAGTGAATGTTGAATGTCCGTGCCCAGTTCTTAAATACGCGTTTCTCTGTGATGAAGCGGTGATGGCTGCCCTTCCGTCCTCGCTCGTGGGAGAGGTACATGGTGCATTCGTCAGGTCCAAACGGTTCGTAATAGTGGTAAGGTACTGACGGGTGATTGGGATCCCTGTAGGAGGAAGAGATGAGATGACTCAGTAAAGGGGAAAAACCTCCTGTGACTGAGGAAGCTGATGAGCACAACACCTATTTCCAAGTCAAGTCAATTGCAACAGAGGGTTTTCCTGATGTGTACACGAGAAGCAAGTGGAAAGGTTCTGAGGTTGTGAAATAAATGTTTGAGCATCACTATCAAAGAGAGAGATTAAAAGTATACTATGGGATGTGCGGGGGTTTGGGACTTAGAAAGCCCACATTACTAAGACCCCCACTGTAGTTCCTCCACTCTTGCCCTTGTGGTCAGTTCAGCATAAGCAGCTAGAAAGATGTTTACAAAACAAAACACACCACATTTCCCTCCCATCCCCCCACTTCACTAAATCCTCCAGAAGCTTCTAACTATAATAAAAGCGTGGCTTATAGGGTGTTACATGAGGTGGTTCTCTCCAGAGCTTTGTTCTAACCCAGCCTTGCCAAACATGCTCCAGCCATACTGGCCTTTCTGGTCCTCAGCTCTGCCAAGCTTGACCTTCAGGCCTTGGCACGTGAAGACAGTCACCTGGTTGTAACACGTTTCTAACCAGTTCACTCCTTCTTACTGCTGGGTACTGACTTCAACGTGTCCTCTTCAGAGAAGATTTACCTCACACCTGTCCCTTTGCGTGCACGTTCTCTCTCTCTCAGGTTTATTTTTTTCACAGCATTAATCCCTCTCCAGAATTGCTGCTGTTTGCTTCTTTATAATCTGTTCATGAGAGCAGGCCTTTGTCTTGTTCTTAGTAGGTGCTCAATAAATAATTTTAAAATTTCTGTTGTTGACAGAAATTTATATGGCATTGACAACTCAACAGCAAACCTCTAAAGACAATTTCTCCTCCAACATGGAAAGCTGATGATCCTAGTTTGATCCCATAGAACAAAGATAGTAAGCACGATGCCACCATTTTCTTCTTGTTTTAGGTAGACAATGGACCCAAATCCAGAGTCTCTAAATCCAGAAATTCCAAATCCTCAAATCCTTGCACTGTAGCCGGATAGCCCCAACATTTTTTTCTGTTTCTATATCCCTATTTCACCTCAAATGAGAAACCCTGGCTCGTTTCTTCAGTTTGGTGTGCAAAGGACTGACATGTTGAGGCAGTTGGGTGCCCTGTGTTACTAAAATATCTAACCCCCAAAGAGTCCTGGTCTCACAATGGTTTCCATTCTAGTCCAATCCACACCACCTCTTCCATGTTGAAGTCTATGATGGAATTAGTCAAGGTATCCCAACAGGCAAACCTTCCTGTCTTGAGCTACGCTCACCAACTGGTTCTGATGTAGAGCTTCAGTGCTTCTCTTAAAAGGCTCAGGCAAATCACCTTTCCGTGCCCGGTGCCCTGGGGCCCCCACTCGGGGCACTCGGGCTCTACTCTTAGTACAGTACCTTTGTTTCCCAGAGATGTTCATCCTGCTAGACATCTATTTGTTTTCTTCAGACGAGATCAATACACAAATAGCTCTTAGAGTAGCAACTTTACCGAGGTCAAGGATCGAAGTCTTTTATCAAGAGGGGTGTCAAGTTTGTGGCTCTGACAACAATAAACCTTTTGAGCTGCCTCTCCTCTGAGGTTAAAGTTCTTCCAGGAAGAGAGATTTATTTTTGTCCTGCAGCATTTAAACGTTCCTCCTCCTGGGTTGGACGCTATGCTGAATTACTACCTTGCATCTACATCAGGCTTGTCTAAAGTATCTCTGTGTTCCACAGTGACACATCAGATCCAACCCTGTCTAGCTAATACAGATTTCACATCTTTACTTACTCCAGAAATTGGAATCCCCTTGAAGTTTTAACAAAGGGTAATTTCCATACAGAAAATGCATTCTAGGAAGAATTCAAGCTGGAACTGAATACCATGGAGAAAAGAATAAACAAAAAAAGATACAAATTTGTGAGACAAATGTCCCCAGATTCATATGGCACAATTTGGGGAACAGTGCCGAATTCACCATGGCATGGTACACTTGGAGTTAAGCTTTTATTCCAATATAAATCAGGTTTTAAATCTGATTTATCTGCACTTTGAACATATTACTGGAATCAATCTTATTAAAGAAACAATTAAGCTTCTAAAAATACCATGAGATTGAGTTGGCACCTAGGAATACAGAGAAATTGGAAACCAGCTAACGGATGCTAGAAGATCAGTTTCCTTATTCAGGAAGACCATCTCTTGGAATGAAAACTTATTTGGCTCCCTATTGATCCCTTAAAGGGAGAATTAAATTTACACATTTAATTGTTATGATTTCCAAGGTGTCCAAATAAGTGGGATTGTTCCCACACTTTAAAATTCTGCCCAAATGGCCGAGGAGTGCTTTGTGGGCCTTGAGGGGAGAGCCGAAGAGCCTGTGGGAACAGCCCTCCCTCTGGAAAGCCTGCCACCCGCTGTAATTCACTGCTGCGTCCTTCCCAGAATAAGGCCCTCATTCCTTAGGTCTTTCCTCAAACCTGACTTTAAAGACTGCAGTAGCTTTTTCTCCTTCCTCCTGACCCAGCAGCAAAATACATCAGCAGAATTTCCACATCAGGAGGCTACTGTTGTAAAGGAGGGTCTGGCACCCCAGTTCCTGTTTGGGAGGACCAGGAGAAGCGGAGGGCGTGGAGGTGTGAGGGCGGAGATCATCTCAGAGCCAGTTTCCCAAGGGGCTACAGCCTGTCATCAGCACTCTAAGGGTAACCTCGGGAATAAATCCTGCAAAACCTGTGTGGCGGAGGGTTTTTGTTTCTTTAGGGAGGAAGCAGGTGGAGCGAGGGGAGTTGTGAGAGAACGAACATTCAGTGCACACAGGGAGCTTTAAAGAAATACCACTGCCTGTGTCCCACTTCCACAGATTTGGGCTTAATTGATTTGAAGGGGGTCCCAGGCACAGCTATTTTAAAAGTACGTGAAGTTTGAGTATCAGAATAAATAATGGTAGTACTGGATTATAAACCCCACAAAATAAAAGAAATACCCACGAGTCCATGATAATTTCAGTAAATAGCTAAATCTATAAATAAACAGGGAGGAAGAAACGGCATTTCCATATAGAAGAATTCCAATTAATAAATCCAGAGAGAATGAGGGAATAAAGAAATCACTACTAAAACAGCCTTGCAACTGTTGCAAGCAAGGTGCGCCAACGAATGAAACATTAGTGGGGAAAAATGATGAAGAGAAATAGGTTATTTACATGAAGTATCTCCCCCAGGATATTTAAATGACAAAGGGAAAAATAATAACTTCGAGGTGAGTAAACCCAGCAAACACCACCTTAGCGAGGCAGTCAAGGTTAACACTGCCACATTGAGACATCTGACATCACGTGTCTGTTGACATGCGGGATGCTGGGAAGGGCTTCCTGATCCTGTGGTACCCTCCCCAGGAATGCACAGCCTCAACCCGATCATGAGAAAACATCACGCGAATCCAGAGTGAGGGACCTCCCGTGACAATGACCAGATTTCTTCAATGTCGTGAAAGAGAAGGAGAGGCTGAAGGATGGCCCCGGACAGGAGGAGACTGAGAGCCAAGATATGTAAGTGCAAAAGGATCCTGGAGTAGGTCCTGGAGGAGATCAGAGACCTCAGCTGGAAAACTGGTGAAATCTGGATAAAGTCTCTTTAGGTAAGAGTTTTGCACTGGTGTTCATTTCTTAGTTTTGATCATTGGACCGTAATGATGCAAAATGTTAACATTAGGGGAGGCAAGGTGAAGGGTATACAGGAACTCTGTGCTACTTATACAACTTTTGGTAAGTGCAAAACTTTTTCAAAACAAAAAATTTAAAAAACCTGTTTATGTTGAAAAGCTCCTTATGAGAGTCTAAATACACAGCCAGGTTGAGGACGGCTGATTTAGTGAGGTTCTTGCTAAGCTATGGTGCTTCACTTCCGTGATCCCTTCCACATCCCCATCAGACAAGGGAGGGAGCCTAAGGTCAGAGTCATTGCTCCGTCTGAGGGCTGAGGAGCCGGCGGGCAGGAGGGGTCCAGGGCCTGGCTGTAAGCACACAGCCTCACTCGTGGACCATCCCGGGTGCCGGACTTTAGTTACCTTTACAGCACCAAACAGAGTGCTCGGCATTTGACACGACTGAATCCTCACAACGCCCCCATGCCAGAGGTACCGTTCTGACCCCTATTTTAGAGATGACAAAACTCATGCACAGAAAAATTGAAGAAGTTTCAGGGCTCAGATATGGACCAAAGTGGAACTCCTAAGAGCGAGGCTCTGTATCTTGGAAAACCTGCTCTACCAGATGGGTTTGTGTACCAATGGCACCTATTGGAACCTGGTTTGGAACGACTCTGTCCTCGCTGCGTTCTCCCGAACACCTGCAGACAGAGGAGCCCCGGGCTCGGTGGACACTCCGCAGCCTGTCAGCGTGAGCAGTAGAGCCCTTGTGCTCCCTGAATGTTATACTCGCGAATATTAATGGTGACGGGAGTTTGTCATGTTCCATTTGTGAATCTCCAACAGCTAAGCTGTACAACCGGCAGAAAAGTCTTTATGTCAACAAGCCCGCAAGAATCCTTTCAGTTCCAGGTGTGATCTGGGTTGACCCTGATCCGTTAGTTGGGGCTGAACTATCCACAGGGCTACAAAGGTGCCAGGAAGGGAATGGTGGCTTTGCCTCTCTCTAGAGCTCTCAGACTCTCTAAACACGCTTCTGTGCGGGCATGTTACCCAGCATCCAGTAGGTAGTCAGGAAATGCTAGTAGAATAGAGCTGAATGGACAGCTGTCAAGTGTCTAGAGTGTTCTGAAATTAGCTTGAATTGTGGGCCACTAGGGATACTAGTAGCATCCTGAAGGAAATGCTCCTAGAGCAGGCCTTCCCACACATCTGCTTTAGCCCGGTGGGACCTGCTGAGTCCCCTTTACTCTTTTACAGCCTCTTTCAGAAGGAAAACATCTATACCCCTTGGAAGCCAGTGGACTAATTCTGGTGACTCTGGGGCAGACAGAGCAGCGAGAGCCTGCCG